GGGTTTCTTGTAAAAATATTTTTTCAAAGCAGAAAATATAATCTGTGCTTAGTCGATAGGAAACGGCAGCAGCTCACAGTAATCCTTGATGTATTATGTACAACTTGTGCATATAGCAGCGTTTCAAAAGCATAGGAATGTGTACATACATAGCTTCTAGAAATAAGGGTACTTAGCCTAAGACCTTTCTTGTGCATCGCACAGCTATGCTTTTTTTCTACATTTTGACTCGGATTATTCTGTTGTGTTGCTTGCCTGTTGAGGACACGGTAGTGGAGATCAATTTCATTACTAATTATGTAGCTCTCGAAGGACATTTACATTCTGTCTCATCCTGGGGCCTCAGAGCTTCCCCCCCCCCGATTCCTGAGTAAGGGACACAAAGAGCTAGCTGTGTATGTGGGTTTAACCACATTTCTCATACTTGATTTGTCAAATCTCAAAGCGATTATGGAACAGTAGTGGGATAAACGTGTAAAATAAGAGTTATGTTTTGCACTCTGTAAGTTTCAAAAACCCAGGTGGGTTTGGATTTGGTTTGATATTCATTTCCTTTTTTGCTGGATTTTTTGGTTGGTTTTGGTTTGGCTTCTGGGGTTTTTTGGTTTGTTTTGCATTGCGTTTTTTTTGAATGTGTTTCTCCTTTAAGCAAGTTCAGAAAGTTAAATGGTCTGAGTTTCTGTAAAAGTATTAATTTTAAAGGTGGTTGGGTTGGGTTTTTTTGAGTATTTGAGGGCAAGGCCAAACTCTTACCACATCTTCTTACCGTGTGGCTATTCGCCAGATTTCTATTGGCTTCGAAAGGTGACCTTGACGCACTTGTGGGAACAGCGAGTAGAGCGAGAGTAGTAATTTAGATAAACATGTTAGAAGGTTCATCACCAGGAATGCACAGTGGGGGCAGGTGGGACCCCCTTGGTCTCATCAGAAGGAGCAGCCCCCAATTCTGTCACTGGAGAGCCACCAGCCCCATTGCCTGGGTGTGACACACATCAAGAGAAGTCAGCGGGAGGGCTGTCTGGAACATAGATGGCTCACAGAACTGAGGGGGCTAACTGCCTAGAAAATATTGGACATGCTATGGGATGCAGGAGAAAAGCATCTTGTGACTGTACAAAATTTGTGGGGTGCTTTGAGGAGAGACTAAACGAAGGGATCAAGGTGCTTTGAGGAGGAACAAGTATGGGAAGATAGAAAGATAAGGGGTGAAGGGCCTGGTCACTTGGAAACAAGTTTTTGTTTTGTGGCCAGATTGCCACAGCCTGTCCTCTTTTCTCATTAAGCTGCACTTGTAACAGTTTTCCTGGACGAGAGGACTCTGCTGGATTCATGTGTGCATGCTGAGCTCTAAGTGCCAGCAGCTGGGGACATAACATGAGCTGTAGGGACCTCTCTGTGTGGTGTGCCAGCAGCTGGAGAGACTGGAGTGAGCAAGAGCCTAAATGTCAGCAGCGTTTAGGAGTAGAGACCGTAAGTCACAGGTACTAGTGAAATCAGAGTCTCTTGAATTTGACAACAGAGCAGGGCTCTGGGAAGGCTGAGGGTTCAGGGTCGGTTCCTTAGTAGATTGAGCTACTGAAGGAATCAACATTGTACGCATGCATACACTCCCCAGCAACAGGAGCAGCATAAGGTCAAACTGTGTCTGTGTTTGCATGAACACTTTTTAGCTGTGCTGATGTGTATGGTCAGTCCTGTGTATAGGCAACTATAGGCCTTTTCACTGTCTGGATCTGGGGACATAGAGCTGCAGTAGCCT